CCCTACAAAAAACACTTACTGAAGCTTACCAAATTATTTTTTCTGTTCCTTATTCCTTCAGCCAAGAAGCACTATACTTTTCTAAAACTTGAAAAAGATGGCTTCATGCCCTGGTACAGGTATAAGCTCGTCCAAAGCAACATGCCACAAAGCAGAGAGCTTGCATTTGGGACTCTGTTGAGAAATGAAACAATAGAGGCAGGCAGAACTCCACGCCAAACCTTTTTCTGCCCAATATCAGCTCCAGTCCTTTAAAGATTCTGCCAAAGTCTTTGGAAATCAGTTGCCCAATACCACTTTGGGAATAATACTGGCATATTCACTGGAGCAGAGCAGATATTTCAGCAGCTTGCTGAAAGACTGTTGGGTGCATCAGAAGAACGTTCCTAGCACAGGAAGGCAGGTTCACTAGTTACAGCTGGCAGAGGGAGAAAGAACCTTAAGGGAAATAAAGCCATGTCTAGCTGATTAGGTGCAACAATTCCTTGGAGGAAACTAGCTAGTTTCACTGGTGGAAGCTGGTTGCTGCTGGAGAGAGGTATCACCCCAATACATGTTATCCCACAGGATATTTCTCACTATAGAATTGCTCTAAAAGCTGGAGATACAGGTCATAGTGTATTGCATTTGGATAATACTAGCCCACATCTCCAGAGATGCCTTGTCTGCTGAGGAAATCACCTGTTAGGAGGTCAGCAGGTACCCCACATCCCTCTAAGTCAAAACCAAAACCTTGCTGGTTTGTTTATTTAAACTCCTAAACATAGATCTGTTTTGAAAGAAGTCCAAGACACACAAGAAGTATCTAAGCAATATATTAAAACAAGCCTGAATTTCAAGTCTATAGAGTTTCATTATAACAGCTTAATATCAGGTATCACAAAGGAGTTCTTTCTGGCTGAGTATCAGTGATGGATGAAAGGGAATTTGTTAGCTGAAATACCATGAGATAGCTGCCAGAATTGCATACTACCTTAGCCGGTTATTTCTTTACTTTCAGAAGTACATTCTTCATAAAAACTAGGATCATTTTCTTCCTGGTTTTACCCAGTTTAGCATTGAGCAAGGCAGTCAGCCTGTAAGGGATAAAACAATAAACATTTTTTCAGCTTGTAAGTGCAGCTCATACATGTTAATTACCCACTTCAATCTCCTCAACTGAAACACAAGAATGAGGCTGTTGGGGGCCGGGGGGGGGGGAGAAGGGGCCTGTCAACATTCCTGAAAACTTACTTTTGAAACATCTTGTGTGTTTTGTTTTTAAGAGGGTTCTGAGCCAAATCACACCACATTAAATAGAAAGGCCTGTTGAAGCAAAGGTAAGCATTCCAATTAGTTTCAAGGGCATTTGGATTAGCCTTCCTACATAATTGATATATTATGATGTTTTTGTAATATAGGAAGAGATACAATGTTTTTCCACACACCAAGGCAATAATCTCTAAGTCTTAGCAACAAAACTGGTAAAGAGAAGATTAATCAAACTAGGAACAGATTGCTCCTTTTCTAGTAAGGCTTTGCATTTCCCTAGAAAACACATTTGCATTTCTAAGCATGGAAGACAAATTAATATTAAAAATGAGCATCAGTCTTTTCTAGAGCTTTGAGCTGGACCAGTCTCCCTCCATCCTACATCTACCAAACGAAAGCCCAGAAACATGTTTTCCAGTCCACGTACATAGGTAAAACACAGTAACACAAACCAGTCAAAAGCATACAGCCTATCACCCTGTGGGCTGCCAGTCCCTCTCTGTTTCTTAGGGATGTGCTCCTAACCAATCTCTGGAACAACCTCTCCCAAAGAGATTTACTCAGACTCCTCTCAGAAGACGAGAGAACTGAAAGAAGGTGCATGACTACTCACACAGTAAATACACAGTCCTACATGATGCAAGAGTATTAAATGTTTGTGCAAAAACATTGAGTTAATAAATAAACAAACAGATTATAGAAACCTTGACCTGCTTGCAGTTATATTTATGGTAGCAGCTTCTTTGTATCTGCAAGACTCTTCTCCCCTGGCTCACAGCAGCAGTCTGTGCAAATAATTCAGAGTTGATCTGAACAGAGTCTGTTGCAGCCCACCACATGCTGCTTCCATTTATGTGAAAACAAGAGTTCAGAGATCCCTTTCTTGCTTTCAAAACATCTTCAGCTGCTCTTTCAATTCCTTAGCTGCTGCTGAGAGCGGCACAGATGGGCTCAAGTTTCTCCAATATAACAT